AAAAAAAAAAAAAAAAAAAAAATGCCGCTGAGACGAAGATTATAATGATGATGATGATGATGATGATGATATTTGAGATGATGAACCAGTAATGCCTTTTTACCCTTTTTAGGGCGCCAGAACCTCAAGACTTCCAAGCACAGGCTCATTGATAAGACATTCCTCACGAAATCAAGCAGTACACAAGCATTCAATCATACCCACTTAACCACTCATCATACCCAAACAAGGACGGAAAATATCTGGGAAGCCTACAATTGGCCTTAAGGGGATGGGAATAGCCTCGTCTTATCAAGGCAACCATGGTTGACCGCTCCCAGTACTCACCGTATGCCGAGTAACTGGCCTCTACAACACCCTGGACACAAAATAAATTAATAAGTAATTTAAATAAATAAATAAATATTGTACAGATAAAATAACTACTGTATGTAGGTAGTTGTTTGATTGATCTTGAGCATCCATCATAAATTCATAATCGCTATAAGTCATCTACTGACCTTACTCATAAAAAAAAAAAAAAAAAAAAAAAAAAAAAAAGGATTACAGGTAAACTAATAAAGCATCCTCTCCATCTCTCGCACTTTGGGGTCCCCCACCAAGAACAAAGTTATTGTATTCTATCGAATATTAACGGTTGAGAAACCTTGCCTAGGAGGCAAGGCCCATTCCAACCCCCCTCCCAATTGGCCAGCCTTGATCATCCCTTACCCAGCCCTGATGCAGCACGAGATACCCTCCCCTCCCCTGGTTAAACCACCAGTGCCTACCGGTTGGGGCGGCCGTTAACACGGAAGCCGAATCGGCCTGCCACTCTGGTCCAGATTCATTCGAGGCCGGAGGTTACGAAAAAATGCAGTAGGTACTGGTGGTTTGAACCCTGCCTGGTCTGACTTGGAACATCTGCACGACGAAGAAGGGCGAAAGACAGAAGGCGTATGACTGTCTGCCGAGAAGGGCCACAGTAGCAGACCTCAAGACTCAAGTCACCTGGGAAGACAGATACAAGCCTCAGACTCAGAAGAAAAGGGGATACATAGTTAGGGGGGTGGGCACCAAGAGTGGGGTTGAGTGGGATTCTGCGCGGAAATAAGGTGGAAAAGGATAGTCACTTGGTCAAGGGTCAAAAATTAGAGAGAGGTGATCTGACCAACTGGAAAGTAACCCATTGTTAGTCAATAGCAACAACCAGTAGAAAAAAAAAGAAAAGAAAAAAGAAATCGCATATCATTACACCGGGTTCCTAAGGGTGGAGGTAGGGGAACGGAAACGTGTACTGAGGATCAACCGTAGGTTTAATCATAGGAAATACCATCAGGCTCGAAGACTCAGTCAAGAATGATACTTGTTGGATGAAGGGGAAGGGGCAGTACCCCGTTTAGCTTTCGCATCCAAGGGGACTGGCCCGCAGACGTATACTTAGGGCCTCGTTAGACCCTCCTTTGAAAATCCTCAGGAATTAGGATGAGGTCCTTGGAAAATTTTTCGGTTTTCGGCGTCGTCGTTACACCGCGTCCTAATTCAATGGGTCCCAAGGAAAACCCTTGGAGGTCTCCCGCAGCCAATTTCATACGCACATACGCCGCCGCGGGGCTGGATGTCCGTCGGTGCGGTGGGATGTCCGTGCGTCCTCGGGCGTGGTCCGGTGGCGGCGGCAGGGAGGCCTTCTGGGCTGGGAACAAAAAAAAGGCGCAAACATCCCTGTTCGAATTTTGAATTTGAACCCTTCGCAGAAACTCATCCACGCCCAGGGTGTCCAGACCGGTGCAGCGCACACCGGAGCGAAACGTCTGCGGAGGAGTGCTGGCGGCCATCGCTTAATACACCGGCATTGGAAGGCGGGCCGATGCAGCACGGACGGTGACGGTCTCGGAGTGCGACAACGGTCAGGAGTTACACATTCGTATTCGGGCCGTCCGCGACAATCGTGCGGGCCGCCATAGCACATGCGCGCACATCAGGCCTCCGTGAGACGTGGGTAGTGCTGTTGCCGTTCCCGTCCACGTGGAGACATCGGAGCGAGGGTGCCGGCGACCGAAACAGTTGTGGGAAGTTCTGCATTGCACGTCATTAAGATGGAGAGAGAGCTGCGGGGCAGTGCAAATACATTGACAACTTTGAAGAGAAATGTGGTGGTTGCAGTTGTGTCGTCAGTCGCCATGCAATATCGCATATAGAGAACGACAGCTCGCCTGAAGATGAGGCTGTCCATTCGCAGGCAGTGTCAGCTTATGCAACAAGTGATGGAGGCAACCGACTGTGTGTCGTTATCAGAATCCATTGTGCAATTTTGCTGCGCCATGGCGTCCGGTGTGATCCCGCGGGCGACTCCAAGCTGGTGGATGAGGAGAAGGACGGGAGAGACATGAAAGGATCTTCGGAAGATGGACGACACGGCGGACGGGTACTATAAGGAGAAGCTGAGGATGTCCCCTAGGGTGTTCCGGGAGATCATGGAGGCGTTGTCCCCTCATCTGCAGAGGAGGGTGACATTTTATAGGGTGCCTTCGATGCCGGATCACATCATCGCGTACGCGCTTTATCATTGGGCGAGCGAGGAGATGTACGAGACCAGCACATTGTCATTCAACATAGGACGCGCATCAGGCTTGATTGCGGTGGAGGACGTGACTCAGGCGCTTCTGAGGGTGTACCGAGAGAAGATCGTTTGGCATTCCGGGTTCCGGCGCATGGTCGTTCTGCGCGCCTTCGAGGCGAAGGGTTTCCGCAATTGCTATGCCTGCATAGACTGCACGCAAATATATGTCAACAAACCGACGAACGCACCTTCCAAGAACTACATCGATCGAAAGCATCGTTTTTCGATTGTTGCGCAGGCGGTGGTGGACTTGGACTTGCGTGTCACAGACGTTTTCGTCGGGTATCCTGGGAGCTGCCACGACATTCGGGTGCTTCAGCTTTCCAGTCTGTGGGCGTGTGCAGAGGAGGGGGATCTTTTTCGTGGACCTGCCGTGGTGCTGCCGTTTGGGGTGAAGACACACGGGTACATTCTCAGGGATAACGACTATCCTCCTATGGAGTGGATCATCGTGCCTTACGGAGGGACCGATCAATGCGCCGACGAGGAGAGGTTCGACAACAAGCAGAAGGTCGCCAGCGGAGCAGTGAAGAGAGCTTTCGGAAGATTGAAGGGGATGTGGAGGCTCTTCCTCCGTACACACAAAACGAATATGGACAGTCTCCCGCAATAGTTTCAAGCAGTGTGCATTTTGCACAACATCCTCCTTGATGTTGGCATAGACTTCTACGAGAACTTGTTGTGGGAGGTGGACGTGAATGGCTTGCGCGGCGAGTGGACTTGGGCTTGGATCCTCCTCCCCACCCCATAGCGGAGAACTTCAATGGTCCCCGTGCGTTGGCCCTGCGCGAAGCGCTGGCGGAGCGTATGAAGCACGAGTGAACGTGCGAAGTCTCCCCACGACGGCAGCTTGTGTGTCGATCTCTTACGGAGGGCGAACGTGGTGATGTCCGAGATTCGAGGGGTGTTGTAGTGCTCTGGCGGTAGTGTCGTACAGTGCGATTGCTGGTCAGCTCCCTGCATTTGTTTTTTGTTTTTTTCAATGTATTTTTTTTTTAATCCCCTTTTCTTGGCTTTAGTTTTCTTCTGTTCTCGAACATTGGAGGAGTGAGGGAGCGGTGCTCCATCACAGTCTTTGTGTGGACAGTGGTATCGCCTTTGATAATGTGATTTATACATGTTTGTCTCCTTGCATGTCATGTCGCACCTTCAACGATTTTTTCACGTATGGACAGGTTACGGTTCCAAGTTGTGTCCTGGCAAATTGTTTTGTTCAATGTCATCTGCATGCGTTGGTTTATTTTTCGAGCATACACACATCGAATGTTTGAATTGCTCACATTTTTTGTCATTCTTGTTTGAAATGCGCATTTCGTTTCTCTGTCGACCACAACTCTGCAACTATGTTCCCTCCTGGTCGCGGCCAAGTTCGGTCGTGACCGTGGCCGCCGGCCATGGACGGGACCCCCCCGGCCGCGGCCGTGGCCGATCAGGGAGGGGGGTTTGGGAGCGGGGAGCGGGTTTCGGGTGGGGGGGGGGGGACCACCCCCTCGAAGTGGCAGACTGTCAAAAAAATTAAAAACGGGGGGTCCTAAACATGGGCCTGGCAGGGTGGGCCGGGAAAATTCATGCGTCCCCCGAGTTGCGGTTCGTCGACGCAGGTGCGCAGGGAGGAGGGTCGGCAACACAAGAAAAATAAAAAAAAAAATATGCGGCCCCTGCGGGGTCTCTCTCTCTCTCTCAAATCCTCCTTCGTTACTCCGTGGCCGAGCTCCGCGATTATGGCCTTCTTCTTCTTCTTCGTTGGACCACACAACGATCTTCACAGTACGTGACAACCAATCTTGTCTCTCTCTCTCTCTCTCTCTCTCTCTCTCTCTCTCTCTCTCTCTCTCTCTCTCT